CTCGTAAGTATCTGGTCTAGGCATACCCTCTCTGCCCTGAATCTAGATTGCTCTTCACTCAAAATCTCCTCAACATGTCTTATCCTGCTCACCGTAACAAACGCGTATTAGACTGATTGCACGGTAATTATTTGGAGCCAAGTAGCAAAATTTCTTTAATACTGGATCACAATGTTTTCCATCCAAACATTTAGGATCTTCTCTTTGTATCCAGAGAGATTCATTAATGCCAATACTCCGTTTATTCTGCACTGCTTAATTAACTCAAGTTGTTTTTGATCAGTTACTGTAGGTCTGCTATTTTTCAGTAGTCTTTGCCCTAAATCCATACTTCAAAGGTCAGTGGTCCAGCATCAGTATCCATCATTTGTTCAGGTATAATAAATAAAATTTATTTAGATGAAATTATGAAATTAACTTTGCGCTCGCTTCAGGATTAAGTAACGCATCGAAATATTTCCCCATGCCTCAACAACTTCTGTAAGATCAACGTGACAGTCTTCTTTCTCAGCTGTTGTTAGTCTTGACTTTTTGTGTTGAAGTAACAATGGACTTTCTTGAACAAGGTCTTCACATCGTTTTTCTGAGCCGCAACTTCCATTATTTCAGCCTTCTTTTTACAGGAAAGTTCTTTATCTTGCCGTAATGATTTTTTAAAATTCTTTACTTTTCTTTTGAAACTTTTTCTGTTATCAATCATGAAAGGCCTGCTCTTTTCTTGCAGCTGTTTAGTTTCCAAACTTATCTACGGCTTCCTTATTTATAAACGTTAGAACATCGACACGCAACTTATATTCCAGCCAGGTTTTGAACCTGCAATTTTTCGACTGTTCCTTTCAGAAAACAACGTCAACATAGAGCATGTTTTGTTTTTTGTTGGTAGCAATGTGCTACCTCTGGTTGAACGCAATTTCTCTTACGCGAGTTTAAAACGTGTTTTAACAATCACGTGCTATTCCCGTATCATCATCCGTTTCGTTTCGTTATCGTGATGGGTCACAACACTTAAGCCGTTCTGAAAATTCTTCTGGCATTTGATTTTGTATTCTGGTAAAGAGCGTATGTATTACTTTTTCTTATGACAAGGAGCAGAAACATGTAATAAATCAGTTCCTCATGACCATTTACAAAAGATTTTGTATAATATCAGTGGTTATCAGTTAAGCCGACAACTCCTAGCTTTTGTCTTTATATTAATGCCAATTTGCTTATAGTTGTTTCTTCGAAACGTTAACATCAGAAGCCCAAACGAGTGGTTGTATGCTGTGCCTGTAGCGATCACGTGCTTAAAACTAATTTCGAATATGTCGTAATACCAGCATTGGTTATCAGCATACAGCATCATCTGCAAACAGACTTGTATTTATCTTGGAACGTTTTTTAGAGCAAGTTTTTTCGTTCAACGTTTCGTTTCGCCAGGCGTTGGATTACCCCGTCGACTTGTACTATCTTATGGACTTGTCATTTTCCATGGCGGATGATAAGCAGAAACTAACAGAGTTGGGTGATTTGCTGGGTAAGAAATACTGTCTTGGGTTTTTACATCGGCTTGAAGCTAGCGTATTAAATATTGTTCAGCTGAAAAAATGACCAAGATCACAAAGAATTTTCGCTTGGGCTTTGGCTCGTTCGTCGATAAGAAAGTAATGCCATTTGTGGATGCGAGGCCTGAAAAGTATGACGTATTTTGTTTAACAACATTTTAGTACGATTAATGGTATGCATGCAAAAAATTTCAGTGAGTTAAACCTAAGCATGTGCATATTTACTTTATCTAGCCGTCTTTATTTAGTTATCCATTTTCAGTGAATAATTGGCAGCAGTAGTCTTGGTTTTTTCTTTGGAGTAATAGACAGTGCCCTGACCGGAAGGCATTTTAGGCGTGCATTTTGAATAATTTAATCATTCCTTGATATGACTTTTCAGTTAAACACAAAATGAAATAAAATATAACTTACAATAATTACTGAAAATTAAGCAAACAATTATTTTTTATACTAACCCTGTTTTCTTGCTGCGTTTGTTTCCGAACAGAGATAAAAAGACGTTTATTGCGAATATGTTGTGGGATTTCCTAGAATGGGGGGGGGACTTATTGGCACAGACTTCTGCTCAGCGATAAACCACAAAGTTAAGCAATTTCTTTTAACCGAAGCTACATTGATGAGGAAAACGTACTCATTCTTATAAAAATAATTTTATTCTCAGTCTTGTTCCATTTCTATAAATCTCTGATGCTTTGTGCAGAGTAGCCTATTTCGTCTGGCAGAAATAAACCATTAATGGGAAGTAGTTTTATCGGATGACTGCTACGGCGCTACCGTGTGTTTGAGTTTTTTGAGATCATCACTTTCAGCTACCCGCATAGGCAGAACCTCTTTGGTTTGTGATGTCCGCTATATTCGCAGATTTTCAACACTTGCTACAAGACGCCTGCTGCTGCATTGGAAAAGAAAATATTCCTCCAAAAATAGTTCTACCTCTACCTTGTTCCTCCACGTTGCATGCTGACCTCCTAGTCGATATCTGCTGTGTTTCGACTCCCAGACGGAAAGCTCACGGTCTGGAGAAAGTGCTGATGTTCAACCAGTTCGCCTAACAGGCCAACCTCATTTACTTATGTATATATTTGCCAAGGTGATCTGATGCCGGAATAGAGTAGAGTCATTCCTTACATGGTCCTGCCATTAAATCCTCATTATACATCGAAGCCAACGATGCGGCATGCATTTCAACTGCCAGAACAACTGCCTCCATGCCGTACGCCCATACTGGACATCCCAAATATTGAATAGTTTTGCTACAACACCTGAGGCAAACGCAATTTCGTGTTAAAATCCAATCGGATGGTACCATCGATGGAGATGATGGAGGCGAGATGCTTAAGTTGATCTACCTCCTCAAGCGCTTCACCTTCCTCTTCCACTTGTACGTCACTCGTTTCAGATGGGTTCCTCATGGCTTTT